TGTGTGTGTGTGTAATAAGATACGAAAATATAATTTGAATATATTTTCGTGTCTTATAATATATATACAATCTATATATTAATGAGATAATTTAAATTAATCTACGATCTATTCCTATTAATTGATAAAAATGTTAGATTTATATAATAATTTGTTAAGATATAGCGTACATGCATTATAGCTGCAATATATTCAAAAATATTAGAAAAACACCCTTAACATCTTGATAAACATAAAAAAGATATTGTGAATTTCCAACAAACAAAAATTCATGTCTTATGCAATGACTTTAGTCAAGCCACATCTCTTTATCATTTGATATTACAATTAATCCCTGATCTTATTGATTATTTTTTTGGTATTCAATATATGTATATAATCAAAACTCGAGCTTTTCTTCCCTCTTTATATTTATTCTCAATATGCGCGCGCACACACATATTGCACCTAACCCAGCACAGTAATACATATAACGTATCTGTTATAATTTCCTACTCTATAATATAACTAATATGTGTTATATATAGATATTATGTAATATGTTATAAACATTTATTATGTTTTTTCAAATTTTATTTTATTTTTTACTACATGACAAATATGAAATGGCCAACAAAAAATTATATAGAGAATATAAATATAATTTAGATAAATGATATTATGATTAGAACGTCAGAAAGTTTTAAGAAAATTCAATTGTGTATATATTCAAAAATCAGAAAAAGAGAAAGAAAATTTGAGGAAAAGTACAAATAAAATTAATAATAGTTCTTAGGAATGCATCTGCAATCTATCCAAAGTTTGTTTTCCCCCTCTTTCAATATGAGACATATATATCCAGACATCCAGACATGAATATATCTATTGTGGAAGTAGTTTCAATGTTTGTGTAGAATAGAATATCACATATATCAATTTTTATATCATGTACATATCAGTTTTTGTTCTATTTTTTCTATCGTGTATATTCACAGCAAAGACGTAAATACAGACGTCAATAGACATACTGACGAAGTTTATATCACGAAAATATCTTTTTCTAAGAAATAACCTTTACTTATGTTTACTTTATAATTCAAAGATATTTATATCTTTTATGATCAGGTGAATAGACTTTATTTTAAAATTATCTCCTATATTAACGGAAATTTTTTTTCAAATACAGTTTCCTTATCATAGATAAGCCATTATTATGTAATTTAACGATAAAAGTTGTGACTGACTAAAAGTTCATTTCACATTCGTTTTATGTGTTATATACTTATTCCTTGCAGATACTGTTGTCATGGCTTTAAAATTTACCAGTAATCTGTCTTTTATGTTTACTGAGGTTCCTAGTATTATTGACAGATATCAATTGGCTAAGCAAGCTGGATTTAAAGCAGTTGAAAGTGGATTTCCATTTGGCTTCTCTGTTCAGCAAGTTGCCTCAGCTAAAAAGAAGGCTAATGTTGACCAAGTACTTTTGAATGTATTCACAGGTATGTTGTGTTTATGCTACAACATTACAAAGATAATTTCATTAATTTTATAGCGAATTTGGTTCACTTGTATTACACTAGATCACTCCTATAGGACATAGTTGCCCAAAAGTTGCAGCAACACTGCATGTTGCAGCAATATTGCAGAGATTTTACAGCGATATTGTTGCAAATTCTGTGCTGTATAATATGCACTGATCCAGTACAGTTCGAGTGATCAAATTCATTATTAATTTTAACATTGTTTTAACAGGTGATGTCACAAAAGGAGAAGTAGGCTTTGCTGCCATTCCAGGTGAAGAAGAAAATTTCAAAAAAAGTATCGAGAAAACAATAGAATATGCAAATGCTTTGAACTGTAAAATGTCAGTATATCGATAAATTATAAATGTACAAATTCGATTGAGAATTTAATTTTTGTAACAATGAGAGAGAGAAAGAGAGAGAGAGAGAGAGAGAGAGAGAGAGAGAGAGAGTGAGAAAGAGTGTGTTTCATGTTACATAATCATAATAATGAATTTTATTCTTGATAGAATTCATGTAATGTCAGGAAAAGTGAAAGCTCCCACTGCTGCTAATGATATGGTTTATGAAAAAAATCTATTGTATGCTATCGAAAAGTGTCAAAAAGAAGACATTGTTGTTGTCATTGAACCAATTAATAATTATAGTTTACCAAATTACTACATGAATAATTTTCAGAAAGGTATATGAATTCGTACTGTCTAAGTTTACTTCCTCATAATGAATCATTAGAGCAAGTTTTTATATTTTTATTGTAGGTTTAGATTTGGTGAAAAAAATAAACAATGCACACTTCAAGCTGTTGATGGATATCTTTCATTTACAACATTGTTGTGGTAATATTACAAAATGCATTCAAGATTTTTTACCTTACATAGGTTAGTAATTTTATATTATATTAATTTTTATTGTTAGATTCTCTTTGTGTAGTTTTATTATATTTTTAATGTATCTCGTTTGAAAATAATTTATTGTTAATTATATATGTGCATATTTTATTTATTCAAGCAAATTTAATCTTAATATGATCTACATAAATAATATAATTTATTTCAATGATATATTCATATTATTTCCATATTATTTAAATAAAAAAAAATATACATTTAATCAGTATATTACTTTTATAGGTCACATTCAAGTAGCCCAAGTTCCTGATAGACATGAACCAGATACTCCAGGAGAGATTGATTATAAATATGTCTTGTCTTTATTAGAAACAATTGGTTATACTGGCTATGTTGGTCTGGAATATTGGCCGAAATCATTAACAGTGGAAGGATTAAATTGGATTAAAAGATACGGTTACACTTTGTAAATAGATATTCATATATGTTATATATATAAATATGTATAAATGGTTATTATATATATATATATATTCTTAAACAAAAAATATATTTTCATATTATATGTATGTGAAATAAAAAAATATTGCTATAATTTTACAAAAATGTAAACATATACTTCCGAATGATTAGGTTTTTAATTAACAGTAATTAGTAAATAATTTTCAATAAATCTATTAATATAAATTTTTATATATTAATGGAAATATGTAAGAAATACATAATTAACATACCTATAATAAGTAAATATTATTGTTTCACAATTGTGTAACTAAGCTTTCAATAATTATATGTATATGTATATAAGGTTGAATATATACGCATAGATATTATTCATATATTTCGTACTAGTATTTATAAACAGAAATAATTTCTTAAAGAACATATACATAAGCAAAGATGGCAGTTCAATATAAGTATATACACAAACTCTTACGCCTGAAATTCATATAATAAATTATACAACCAATTGCATAATTTATATTTTCTAAATTTATCTAAATATAAAAATGATACTCTTAAAATTAATACGCAAACAATGACCAAAAGTATTTATATAAGTACAAGCATTGTCTTATTATTCTGTATATAATATTATTATATTATGTAACTGATATTTTATTATAAATTTGAAAAATCGATTGCACTTAATTATAGATTTCGTACAATGTGGAACTTGTATTAAGTATCTATTTAAAAAAGTAATAGGATGATTCTTATCATATATATTTAAAAAATTTTATTATATATGAAATTTATATTTTTGTAAATATTATTTTTATATTTTATTTTATGAATCATATTCCGAGACTCAGCTCTCATTATAATATACAGGATGTTTCCTGTAACTTAATTATTTAAAATGTCTCCGTTGTTTTTGATGATACGCGAAAATACCACAGAGGATCTTGTTCGATTCGAAGGAGCATGTACTATGATAAGCAAAAAATTTTTCTCAAAGTCATTTTTTGAGACTTCGTCACCTCTATTTTTTTTAAATAGAATTCTATAATTTTTTTTACACAATATAATGTTTCTCTAATTATTCTGCATATAAAAATATTAATGTAATGATACAAAAAACAAATAATTTACGAGATATTTTATATTTTATTCTGGCATATATTGACCTAAGATATTAAAAATAACTCGTAAACTATTAATTTTTTTATAATCATATCTTAATACTTTTATATGCAGAATAATTAGAGGAATCATATTTAAAAAAAATCATAAAATTTCATTTAAAAAAGTGGAGATGATGACCTTAAAGTCTCAAAAAATATGATCTTTGGTTCTTGAGAAAAATTTTTTGCTCATAACATGTGTCCCTTCAAATCGAACAAGATTCCCTATAGTATTTTCTCGTATCACCAAAAACAACAGAGATGTTTTAAATGATCAAGTTAAAGGAAGCATCCTGTATATAATTCTATTCAACTTAACTTAACGTAAAAATATATTATAAAAATATAATGTAAAAACATTAAATATACATATATAATGAAATTGCAAGTTGTACATAAAAATCTTAGTAACAAATTATTAAAAATTTAGAATCATCCTGTTTATTTTTTACAATAAAATATGGACGAATTTTTATTCGCAATTTTTATCATTTTTATTTTGTTCAGCACACGTATATGTGCCGATACGTATACGTTTCGATAAAGATTACTGCAATATTCTCTGAATTGAACTGCAATGACTCTTCATCATTTTGTAGTACAATTTGTAATCTACACATTCAATTAATTACAAATTTATAGTAACATCGATATTATACATTACGATATTGGGTAATTTAATTATATGTGAAACATGGTTAAAATTACAAGATTAATTATAACAATACTTTTAACAACGAATTCGTGTATATATTACAATATACATGTATAATACAATTAATATTTAAAGATGTGGAATAAACTGCTATGTCAAAAATATTTGCGTTGACTGCAATAATAATTCAGTGTAAATTTCCTTTACAATAATAGTATCTATATAAAATAGCCTTAAACGCACAACGCCGAGAATTAAAACATAAGAAAACACCAAATATAAATTTATATTCTGGATTACAATCGTCTGGATTACCATAAAGCAAAATTACAATTGGGAAGGCGTACAGATTTGTCGGTGTTATTCAGACAGATTCTGTGACATCCATTAGTGGTTGGTCGACATCAACAGAAGGACCTATCACAGCAGTGCTGCAAAATATTTTGAATAATATATTTTATAAGAAACTCCAAAACTTTTCATAGCAATGTGGGAAAATCTTATTTATAACAGAAATAAAATACAACAAAAGCACAATATTGCACAAAAAACAAAGATCAATGCTTCATATAGCTTTATCAAATGTTGTTATAAATACAATCATTATAAAAATGTTAATTTGTCATTCATTCACCCACAACCAAAGACAAAGATATGTTAGATAGATCAAATACAGATATAATATAGAATAAAAAGAATAACGTTCATTTTGACTTTATATACACATATTCATGCAAGCGTGATATTATAATAATATTCAATCGGGATTACAGACAATATTACCCAGTGCCAAGAGCCAAAATTGTAGCTTCTTGTACCAATGTCATTTGATCAATGGTGGACCTGTGATCAATCAAAAATTCAATAGAATGGATTATATAAAAAAAAAGATATTATATTATATTTACCTATACATGATATATATGATTATATATATATATATATATATATATATATATACACACACACATAGTGTAAATAAAATTTAAATTACACGTTCAATGAAGCTTGAAATGAACAAATATTTGAAACATGTATACTATATAAAATCATGAAAAATTATGAAAACAAGACAATTTATTTCAGTCAGATCAAAGGAAAATTAACGCAAATACATATATTTTTTTAAATCTGTTTTATTGTTAATGTTTGAATGATATCATGTTTTTTATATTTTTTAATACATATTAAAATAATAAGGAAGATTGTTTTATATGGCAAGTTAATATGGACTATCTCAAACAAGTTCTTTTGTCAATTTGATTTAAAATTATTACGTGGAAAAATTGAAGCAATAATAACAATTTCAGAATTAGTTTGTTATGAAAGCAGGAGCAGTCAGCAAAATAATGTTTAGTATTTATTAGTAGTAAAATCGGAAACTTACTGTAATTTCGTAGCACGATGTATTTTATCTTATTTATATATTTATATGATATAATTTCATACAATGCATTTGCAAAATGTAAAAACCTAAAAGATGCATGTGTAAGTTGAATGTCAATAAATATGTTCAATCAGGATATTTCTGTAAAGGATACTGTGTAAATTATACTTTTATATTTCTTAATATTGTTATATATTTCATTTATTGATAGACACTGCCAATGGATAGGAATATTCTGTAAATGTGGGATAAGATAAAGAATAATTATAAATAAAATTTTATTTCTATGAAGAAATTCATTTTTTACACATGATTTTAGATATATTTCCTATTCTACTATAAATATAAATGTTTGTTTTTTAACAACAAAGAATATTTGAATTAACTATTGGAATGTATATATTGTTCATTATTAACAGAGTGTATAATAATATATACTTATTTATAATACAATATAATATGAATTTCATTTCATAACAATTAAAATATCTAGATACATTAATTTATTTATTATATTATGAGAACATAGTTATGCCAAGTCCTCCGAATAAACAAGACATCCTACAACTCATGATCTTAATTTTAACTCTCTGATCTATTTGAAATCAAGTTTTTTTTTCGTAAAAAATATATTGAGAGATCATCATTTATAATAACTTTCCAATTCTGAATGTTATACATTTCTTATAGTTTTGAATGTTATATATTTTTACAGTTTTAAATAAAAATTCTGTTACAAAATATACTTCAAATAAACTTAAAAATATTACTTTATTAATTTATCTATAGATAAGAAATTCAATTTATAATTATTTCTAACTCAATAATTATTAATGCCTCAATATTTTTTCGTTTAAGAAAAATCGATTCCAAATTCGTTAGAGAACCTATTATTAAAATCAGTTATGAATCATGAGAGGAGGCACTTCACTTTAGTTGCGATAGATTTCATACAACTACATGTACTATTAAATAATAACAAATATCTGCATAAATATAATTTGTAAGGAATGATTGCTATATAAAGTGACGGTTGGATACACTATCAAATTGAATAAAATTGTCTTGATCTAAGAATCAAACCTATAAAGTACCTGATTTACATAGGGAGATGGGGAGTCAAATTCAGTTTCATCACCCCACTGTTGGGTGCCGGGGCCCAACAGAGTATGAGTATCTTCATTGCACAGCCGCTCGGGAAAGTTTACCCCGTCTCCAAAGCTGCAAGCCATACCCTACCTTCTACTCGATGTTATCCCATGTCTACAATCCTTATGGTGTAACTATCTATCATATTTCCCTTTTGTTACTTTTTTTCGTTGGTTCAATTTACTTATCTAACCGATTAAATGAGGAAGAATCATAAAGGAAGTAAAAACAAGGTACTTCTTTTAAAGAAGGAATAACTATATACATAGTTACACCACTTTTATACTACAAATACAGTTTATAAGAACCAGATGCACAATACCTCACGTAATTATAACAATTTTACGCAAATTAGTCTTCAACTAAAATTTATAATGTAACATAAGACATGCAGCTTTATCACAAAAATTAATCTTAAATGCTTTTATATAAATACATTATTATTTAAAAATGTATTATATTTAAATCTTTCAATACACATTCTGTAACAAGTAGATATTTATCTGTAAATGAGATATTAAAATATAATTAATACATATATTTTTAGAGAAAACTGCAGACTTTAAAAATTAATTTTTTTTTTGTTTTTTAATAATATCCTATTCCTTCAATATACATTTCAATAAAAAACAAAAAAATAGAAAAACCGATTGGCAGTTATAGATATATGCAAATTGTGAATTGTGTCAATGCTATCAAACATAATTATAGTTACAAAGAATACCTTCTCACTCAGAAGCAGAATAAATAAAAGTTTGATTTTATAGACTTTGCAGACAAATTGTATAAAAAGCTCAAGTTACGAAATGATTGGGGAAGAGTAATAGCTGTAGGAGTGATAGTCAGCGTCAAACAAAAAGGTACAAATGCGTTGCATGCAGCCTGGAAGCACTTAAAGGTTTTATCATTACTCTGGAACTCAATAAAAGAATAAAAAAAGATATACAAAAATATAAACATAAAGACAAGAAAATATTTTGAATAGGTTAAGAACATCAGAACAAAATAGCAAAACTTTTGAAAATCTCTTTAAAAGCAAACTATTGAAAATTCTTCCCCCCAAATTTGTTTTCAAAATTTATATTTAAAGCACATTTATTTGTTAAGCACATCTTTATCGAAAAAAAAAGCGAGTTCCATAGTAAAGAGTCAAAGTAATTAATATTGCATTTTTGTTTAAAGCTTTTATAATGCTGACCTGTTCTGAGTACTGCCCATGGAGTCATAAGTATTGGGTGTGCCCTGGTGTTGCGATCTTACTGGGTAGACGACACCATTTCCCAGACTAGAACACATCCAATGCAACCACTCCAATTTAAAAAATATCGAACTTGCTTTTGTCGATCATAAAAGTGCAAATATAGTGCTCATAAGAATGATTTGTAAGTGCGGGAGTTGCATACTAACTAACAGTGCACCAAAATGAAAAATTTTTATATCCATATTTCTAAAGAAAAAACTTTGCATCGAAAAAACAGGAAGAATTTATATACAGGACAAAGATGGAAAACAGTAAAATTTCAACTTATGTAACAATCTATCTGCATCCTGTTCCGATTTAATATAAAACATAAAAAATATGATACAACATATTTTTCTCTTTGTATTATAACACAGAGATATAATAAAGTAGTTTCAACATGTATATCTTTTTATTATAATAATAGATGGAAATTCTTCAAAATTTTTTATAGAAAAAACAAAAGAATAACGAATATATAATATTCTCACACACATAATTTCGGAGCATTCTCCATATAATTATAGATAGAAATATATATAGAAAAATACTAATCAAAATTTAAAAAATTGTATCACATAAAACATGCGATTATTTTGTTTCTTTGAAGGAAAATAAACTTTGAAAAAATCAGAATTGCTCACACTTTATACTCAAGGCCCTGCAGTACTTATGTTACCGTATTTCAAATTTCGTTTAAGTATGCCAAACCGCATAGTTGTTTTTTTATAAAGATTATGATAGGCGGTATACTAGAAGCATACAAATTGATATAATAGTTGAGTTATTATGTATTGTGCAATTGGTTCCCACTTTGTAAATTATACAATTTTATCGCGTATAAAGTATTGAAGAAATGAAAAGCACATACCTACTAAATATGGGAAGAAACCAGAGTCGCGGATTGTCACCGAATACTTCCTGAAAATTATTGTATTTTCCCAGACTAAATCCATCTTTGTCTTTTCCTGTCCGAAACATAGGTGCTCTAAAGGCCTCTATAAAAACAGTTACATGGTACTGATTAAAGATTACACATTAAATATTGTAATAGTAACATAGAAATATATATATGCAATAAGTACCTAGCGTCGATCTATTATGAATAACGAGATAGCAATGATAGAAGAAAAGGGAGATAAGACTGACTGCAAACATCAATGCAACGAAAAAAAGAAATAGCAGGTGAAATCTACCCATTCCATCTAGTTCACCCTACAAAAGAAAAGTTTATATTAATTATAAAATGCAAATTAACTAGAATTATATATATATATATATATATTACATTTTGGCATTATACAAAGTGAGTCATTTTAATTGAACCAGACAAACATAAAATAATACGGTTGTTCGATGGGGGTTTCCATTTAAGAAATTAATGGTGACCTTTACATAACTTTCAAATGACTATCCAAGGTCAAACCAACAGTACTATCTTATGTCTTCCTCTAAACCATACAACTTTTGTCTGAAATATTTTTCCGTATCTTCCATATTTGTCGAGATATTTGCCTGATTCGATTAAAATGACTCACCCTGTATAATCTGAATAAATCGTATTAGTATTAATTTATTAGAAAAGAAAAAATCTACTCACTTGCCAAAATTGTATAAAGTATTGCAAAGATGTAGCAGTAAGAAACAAACAATAGAGAAGTCCATATGCCAGAAACAGTATGAAAAATTTATAATTGTGGAAGCCTACGCAATTGTTCACCCATGGACAATGATGATCCATTTTTAAGACACAAGTGCCACACACGCTACAGTGATGTGCCCTATCAGGCTTTATTAACTGACACTTCTCACAAAATCGCATAGCTAAAGAAAGAATATTATCAACATATATACGAAATTCAACAATTTTTTTATGTCATTTATAATTTAAATATTACCTCCTTTTATGGTGCGATTAGTAACTGGAAGATCTTGTGCAAATCTTTCCAAAATTTGTCTCTGCGTTTCTTCAGTTTCAGCCTGTTGCAATTTCTCCATTTCAACATCAGGTATTTTAAACTAGAAGAGTTAAGAAAATATGTATAAATTATTTGTATTGTATCATAATCACAAATAATTATTTTTATTTGTAACAGACAATTTACCTTATCTGGCACGGGTATTAAATTTGTGTACATTGTTTGCCAATATGACCACAAAAACATCAGAATCAGAATGTGGAAGAAAAGCAGATAGAAAACTGTAAACATACATAGATAATAAAAGTGTTATATATATATATGCAATATGGCTACTTTCCAAAATCAGAATTAACTTGAATAAACATAAATGACATTAAGAGTTACAATTATAGAAATAATAAAACAGACAAAAAAAAATACTAAATTGTAAAAGAAAACAAAGTTAATACATAAAGTAATATATGATACAAACCTTTCTGAACATAATTATCTATCGTATCTGAAACAAATACATTACAATGTTAGTATAAAGCTTTCAAGAGTAGATTTTTATTTTGCAACTATGCAGATGTTTAACTATAAATATGTGTGTGTGTGTGTGTATCTATACATTTATTATTGTATATACTATAGCATGATTGCAAAATAAGACTTCTACTTGTGAAACAGTTCTCTTTTTAAGTTTATATTTATTACCAATATACATAAACATCAAATGGAAATTTTTCGCATATCGTACAGATTACATAAAAAATGTCATAAAAAGGTTAACGCCGTTAAGATTAAAATTTAATGTTAATAAGAGAAATTAAGATCTACATGCCCAGAAATAAAGAAAACTCAAATTGTTTAGAATCGTCGGAAAGCAAAATACGAAGAAATGTAATTAGAAAAAGAGGTGATATCCCGAAAGGGCGCGTTTTTAACGATATGACGCGAGACGAGGCGGCATGACGAAGTTGGCGAGGACGTTTGGCAACTCGAAGCGAAACCGGTGGCGAGACAAAACGGAAGGCTACGAGAACATCGTAGCCCGTGATACTCACAGTAGCACAATTGCACTACGTAGGCATAATAGGACCAGGCAACGATCGTTAAGATAAAGATCACTGGCAACCACTTGACGGCCTTGAGGCACCACCAGCACGAGCCGCTTTGCTTGCCCATATCTGTTCACCGAATCAACGGCGTGCGTAAGATTGCGTGCCCACCGATCGCGGGCCTCATCAACAACGCGTTAACCCTCGGCCCGCTGAAACGCAGCGGCATCGCAGCACTGCACTCCGGGGCCCCGACGAATCGGTCGTTTGCTTTCCACCGGTTCTGTCTCAGCGGACTCCGCGTAGAACGTGCGACTGCGGCCGAGCGCGAAGAGCGCGAGAACACATCATTGCGCAAGCGAAGCCCGCCCGCGTTATCGCGGCATCGCACCCTCTTCCGAGAGTCAGCACACTGCGGACCAACCGTCACCGACGTCACCGACGTAGCCGCCGCCGCGACGGACGTTCGGAATCTTATTTTGGACCGGCCACTGCTTTGCACACCGCACGCAACGTGCACCGTCTCATTCCGACGCTCTCAGTGACAGTCGCTCCGTTTCACCGTTCACGTCCGCCAGGATCGCCCCTCAGTTTGACAGAGTTGACACTGCTGACAATTGCCGACCATGGATGAAGCGAGTGTGTTCATTAGGCATTCCCGCAAGCGTCTACAAAAATTTTCAAATTAGTAACAAATCTCATTCATCATTTAGACATACACGAACGCGCCTTTCTAAGCCTGTCTTTCCCCTTTTTCTCGTTCACGACAATTACGCATCCCTTTTATTTTTAATACAAACATTTAACGTAACGTTACAAAGAACACACTTGAAAGTCTTCCCCATATTGGACGACACGGCATTTGCAGTAAAAAAAAAAAAGCACAGCTAATCGCAGGCAAAAACTTTGGACAAAATTGATCAATAGCGCAAAGCTTAACCTAGATCGACTCGTGATTCTCGCCAATTCTTGTTTGAATGTTTCGATCTTCGAAACACTGCAGAAGTCATAAAGATAGATTTACTAAATTTTTACAACAATTCAACAAAATGTAACTTTTTTAGAACACAAACATTACGATTGGCGACACTGGCTAAGTTGTCAAGGAAACCGCAGATTTCAAATGATTTCAAATCCTTTCTGATGGCTACTAACGTTAACGTGGACAAAGTTTTTCGCGTAAACAATAGTTTATGCTACTTTTCAAGAAATGGAGCGTATCTAGCGATAGCATTTCAAACGAATCTGCTGATAAAAGATGCAAAAACTCTCGATACCTGTCGATCGTTTGTATTCGTGGATGTGATACAGGTTAGTCTTGTATTGATAGGAAAAATGATTCGATTCAATCTTCGGCGTCATTTTTAATTATATATTGATATCTATGCCTTTATCTTTGTTACTTTACAGTATATGGAGTGGTCTTCAAATAGCGAATATATTCTTTGTGCGAATATAAAAAGAGCTATCGTTCAGGTATATTCGATACACTATCCCCAATGGAAATGTAAACTTACCGAGGGTAGTGCAGGTTTGCAAGGTGTTACTTGGTCCCCAGATAGTAAACACATTTTTACCATAGCAGATTTTAATGTAAGTGCAATATATTGTAAGAAAAGACATCTGACCCATGCGCTAATGTAAAACAAAAGATATTTACAGATTCAATTGTCTATTTGGAACTTGGAAGAGCAGACGGTATCGTACATACAAAATGTAAAATCATCTTCCTTTGACAAATTACGTTTTAGTCCCAATGGCGAGAGATTAGCAGTGATAGTTACAGAAGTAGATCAAGATACAGTAGAAATTTATAAAACTCAGAACTGGAAAATAAGTCGAGTAAGTACCAAAAGCCAATTGAAACAATACATAAATTGAACAACATGGATCTTTTTTTATAGATTACTTAGAAATCTATATTTCACACAAATATTTTATACACGATTATTTTCATAGTTTTATAAAAATAACACAGTTGAAGTAAAAATCTAAAATTCTTGTAAAAATTATGTTAATAACGATGATAGTTCTATATTGTGTATCTTAACAGAATGATCGTTACTACAACTTGCTAATTGCAAGTTATTATGCGAGTGATTAGTAGGTCGAAACATGAGTCTTTTTACAGTTAAATGATGAGCTTGGGAAGTATCGTACTCCAATAATTTTGACCATACGCTCTCTAACTCTATTGTGACTCTTTGAATCTCTATGTGTCCTGTCTCATATCCGATAGCCAGAAGATAAAAATCTCGTGTAATATGACTTGGCGCAAAGCATAACGCTGTAACTGATTGATTTTTCATATCCAGAATAATCTTTGGTATAATATTATTCTCTATCGTTTTTGTGGACCATATAGCGATTTTTCCGTCTCTGGATCCAGTCGCGAAATAATTCGAGTCTTGCGTCCAAGCGCAGCACCAAATTATTCGCGAATGAGGATTGTCTTTCTTCGAACTAGCTGCGATTAACTCGTAATCTGTATTGGTAGCTTTAAATAATGACCATCTTCTGTCTCTGGATACAGACAATAAATACTTGTCATCTGGAGAGAATTCCATTTGCGTCACAGTCAACTGATGATAGCTTAATTGTTGAACTTGTGACCAGGTGTTTGTACTCCACAATAAGATTGCAGAATGTTCTTGAGTAGTTGATTTGCATGCTGTAGCTAGCAATTGTCCGTCGTGTTTCGCTGCTATACAGAATATTTCGTAGCCATGTCCATAAAGCTTATTCGTTTCTGGCCAAAGTGTATTTTGCATTAATTCCTCTTCTGTAGGTGGTTCATATGAATTTTCCGTTGTTGAATTTTTTGTGTTTTCATCATTGTCCCCACAGTACGTGGCTTTATTTGTTAATCCCAGAGATGGTACAGCAGCACCGTGAGCCTTTACAAATTTGAAATCATCGATATTCGCCAGTGATTTTAATTTATCCCTAAACGTGGACGTAGCCATGAAAATGCGCACCACTTTCTCGTCTGCTCCAGAAACATATATATGTGGTGATAACATAGTTAAACAAGTCATATTGTATCCGTGTATCTGAGGACGCGCAATCTCGTGCCATAATTCTTCAAGATCATCATCTTTCCATGGTGCATGAATTCTTGTAGTTTGGTCAACACTGGCTGTGATGAGAAATCTGTAAACAGTATTAGAATATGTCATATGTATTTATTCCTTTCTGTGTGTATTTTGTTCGTGTTTGTGTTGTGTTGGTTCTAAACTTTATCTATTCTCATTTAAAATACTCGATATAATTTTCATGTATTTCCATATTCCTAATTAAAATATAATGATTCATCAAAAAACACAGGACAATTGTATAAAAAAAAATTGAGATAATCACAAATATAAATTTTTTTCTAAATGTAAGTTTAAAAATTTTAGAAATATTTTTTCCAAATATTAAACACACAGAAGAAATACAAACATTCAATTTAAAATTAAAAAAATAAAGCAGATTTATTCAAGAATATATAATAACATGATGTAAAGTTCAAAATTTCTAAATGTTGCATCTATGTTGTTACAAATTACTGAATGTTCAAGAATTATAAAATCACATATAAAAGACTTTCATTCCACATCTAAGATTTATACAGACCTTCCTTTTGGTTCCCAACATAAATCGACTACTTCAGCAAAATGTCCACCAGGCACAGAATGTGGAAACCATTTATTCATTTCTTGAGAATATTTCCAGATATGAAAAGTACCCTGGTAACCGTGTGCCAATATATGTAGTCCATCTGGGCCAAATTTACAGCCGTAGAAACCTAAAGAATTGCCACCAACTTCGCCGACACGTACTGTCTCTGTCCACATTCCATCCATAATCTCAGCTGGCTCCCATATTATCATAGTTTTATCCATTGAAGAAGATAATAGTTTCATTGTTTGATGGCTGTCTGTTTTCATAGGCTGCCAGTGCAGACCATAAATCCAGCTTTCATGACCGCAGAGCACTGATTCCAAAGTAATATCATACTGCCTATCATTTACTACAAAAGTATTACTTTCTTGTCTGAGTTCATCGCTTGAAGATTCTTCGATGCTAATTTTTTCGCTAATTTTCCATAATCGTATCATGTTATCTTTTGAGCCTGATGCAAGGAAAAGATTTCCATCACCATTCTGAATAAAATCCATACACATTACCCAATCTTCATGCCCGACTAAACGCTGGATATTTACAAAAGATTGTTCCAAGCCAGATTCTGCTTCAAATTTTGCATACAGCAAGATTGAAGCGTCCTCTAATGCTACAGCCAAGAGAGGACATTTGTTTAGTAAATACGTCAGACGACAATATATTGGTAACTTTCTTCCGAAAATTATAGACTGAATCTGCTTAACATCCGCATTTTCCTCTCTCAACCATAGTTTGACATCGCCGCAGACTGAACCTGTGCATATTAACAACTTCGCCAATGTGGTAGACGAAATATTATCTGTCATTTGGAGAGAATCTGCGAAGACAACTGTGCCTTCTACATTCAACACCGAGGTACATTGAAACGTACTTTGATCTTTACTCCAAATAATCACAGTACCATCTACAGAACCGGACAACAATTCCAATTCTGGTGCACCGTTTCCTGGCTTTATCCAGTGTACTGTATTGACATGGTCACGATGCCGGTGCAGTGTATGCGTTACATGACCGATGTTCGCACGTGGCTCGTATATAGCGATTGCATTTCGCGTTCCGAAACAAAGTAGCCCATTGATGCCCCAATCGGCGCAATGAGGAACACGATTGCACGAACAAGCAGTGTAACACGTCATGTCGTGGAGGTCGTGAAACGTGGATCGTTGCGAGGATCTTTCAAACGTTCACGCGGTCAGATGGTGGCAGCCATTTTTTTTTTTTACATGTGTGCACAACAAGAATAGAACTATCATTTCATCCTTGTTTAGCATTCTGTGAACGACAAGGATGTATAAATGATGCATCGTGCGCTTAATAACAGTTTACGGCACGTAATCGTAGTTGAATAGTCTTCTCTCCATGTCTTTTGTATATCTCTCGCATTTTTCAACGCGAAAGATATAACTTGACACAGTTACAAAGGATTTCAACAATTGGCGATTGTCCGAAAATAGACTTTGCTACCGTCGGTAAAAGAATGAAGTAATTGAAAACTCCAGTTTAGCAGTCATAAAATTCCCTAGATTTTAAACTGGCGCGAAATAATGAATCAATGAACTATTTCAGAAACTTATCTGCGATCGTTTGCGCGGCATCGACGGGATTCGCTGGTCGCCAAACGATGAATTATTATGCATATGGTGTTCCTCTCCTGCCGAACCAAGGTTAATTATTTATTCTAACATATTGGAGAAACACGTGACAACATTTTCCCCGCTGGAAACGACACAGCCATCTGAAACGTGTAATTATGGGAAAGAGCTGAGAGGAATTGAAAATATAGAATGGATCCCAAGTGGACAGTTGTTGGCTGTAATAGGATTTAACGAAGTGGTATAATTTAATTACGATATGTTATTATATACCATGCTGTTTTTGTTGCCGGTAAATTTACGGTTATTTAAAATTTATATTCAGGTCGTCCTTCTTAATCACATCACGTGGCAACCTTTGTCGAAATTGTACATGGATCCAGTAATCAGAGAATGTAATTACCTAACAAAAGTGTACAAAGAATATGCCGATTCGGAGAAAGTTTCTAATAAACGTTTTGCATCCTGCGAGGAACGTGTTTGTAAGTAAATGATCTTTTGGCGAATTGAAGTTTATCACATTCAAATTATATTACAAAAAATTTTTTAAATTATTATATAT